GTAGGAATTGCTAGTAATCGCAAATCAGCCATGTTGCGGTGAATACGTTCTCGAGTCTTGTACACACCGCCCGTCAAATCACGAAAATCGATGCTGCCTGAAACCGGCTCCCGCAAGGGAAACTCTCGCAAGGGAGAGAAAGCCGACAAGGGTAGGATTGGTGATTGGGGTTAAGTCGTAACAAGGTATCCGTAGGGGAATCTGCGGATGGAAAATAAATATTTTAAAAAAAGGTTCTGTCTAGTTTTGAGAGACATACAAAAAATAAGTCTATTACAATGTCAATCTCTAAAATTAAAAAGTGATTAATATGGTGCAGACAATAGCAAAATTCGTAGAATTGGATAGAGAAGATGCCAAAAATTTGAAGCACCCTTATGTAATTTGAAAGATGGAAAATTCAGAAGAGCCATTTTGAGTTAGTTACACTGAAAAAAGTTTTCCTGACAAGAGAGTTTGAGATATTATTGCTTACCAAGAACAGTTAGTTGGGAAATTTTCACTTTTGTTGGGATATTGAAGGGAAGTTGACTATCAAAAAAAACAGAGGAGTTGAAAAGGTGAAGGCTTTAAAGTAACAAAGTGCTATCTTATTTCTGAGGACTTTTTGCTTACTTCATGGGATAAGAAAGAAGATGAATATTTACCAGAAAAAAAACTTCGTGAAGTGGACTGTTAAATATACAAGTTTAGGAAGTATTTGTAGTATCTAACAGAAAAGACCAAACTAAATACTAATATTTTAAAAAGACAAAAATTTTTTTGAGTTCTAATCTTTTTTCCAACAAAAATTTTTCTAATTCCGGTTTATTTTCTTTATTTTGTGGTTGGGAGAAGAGGCGAAAAAGAAAATAGCACTACCAATCGCTACTAAACTAATTATTGCTAGAATAGCAACCATTTTTTTTTTTGCGAGATTGCCATGGTTCACATTTATAGTTATTACCCTATTAGAGTTAAATATCAGCAATTTAAATACTTAAATCCCTTGAAAACAAAGAGTTTGGAGAAGTTATTAAGTAGAGAAAAGAAGAGACCAAAAAACACACAAATTAATTTGGCTCCCCTTTCCTCTTAAAAGAGACCTGGGGGGTAAAATTATGAAGAAAACCCCTAAGTTATGTAGTCGGTTTTCTTTAAGGTCTAAACAATAGCACCTACTAATCAAAATGCTACCAAAAAAGACCATGGATATTTAGTCCATAGTTTTCAATTCCATATTAGGATACGGTTTCCTTAGCCTTGTTTCTTTATCAATAATCGTTACCTTTATCCCCTACTATATTAACTCTGACACTGATTTCGCATATTGTAATAATACTTATTTTAAATTTTTTTTATAAATATAAGCAGTGAAATCAGAAAATTCCTTTTTTTTAATTAATTTGTAATCCTCAAATAATTTTTCTAACGAATAATTTTCTCGTTTTTTGCCTTCCTCTCAATTTGGAAAAGGAAAATAAGTATCGCCTTCACAAGTTCCTTTTACTACTGAAACATAATAATAATCAGCCACAAAAAAAGTTTGCTGGTAAATTTCCCGACCACCAATCACGAAAATATGTTGGTTTTTATTTCCTTTGTAGGTTTCTAAAACTCCTTTTAAATCGCTGGCAAAAATTAAGTTTTTATCCTGCCAATTCTTGTATTTTTCTTTATTGCGGGTAATAACTATGTTATGGCGATTTTTCAGTGGTTTACCAATACTTTCAAAAGTTTTAGCACCCATTAAAACTATATTCCTAGAAGTAATTTGCGAAAAATATTTCATTTCAGCAGGAATTTTTCAAGGTAGTTTATTATCTTTTCCAATTAGATAATTTTGGTCCATGGCTCAAATTAGGTTTATCATTTTATTAGGAAAATTTTGCTTTAATTTTTTGGGCTGAATTCTTCAATATCCATTACTCTATTGCAAACTTTTTGGATAAAGTAACGGTCGTGAGAAGCCGTCAAAATAGGTCCGGGGAATTTTATTAACTGACTCTCGATTTTTTCTAAACTTAGCAAATCAATATGATTAGTTGGTTCGTCTAAAATCAAAACATCTGCCCCTTGGAGAATGACTTGAATTAATTGAATTTTGCGGCGGACACCAATGCTTAACTGGGACAAAGGCAAATATAATTCTTGGGGATAAAAAAAACCAAATTCTGCTAATTTTTGGAGAATCTGTTTCCTTTCTAGTTTGATAAATGGGTCATTTTCTAACAATTGGATAACTGTCTGGTTTAAATTTATATTTTCTTGTTCTTGGTCTAAATAACCTAACTTAACTTGCTCAGGAATAGATATTTTTCCTTCGTCTGCTGGAACTATTCCCATAATGATTTTTAACAAGGTGCTTTTTCCGCTTCCATTGGTTCCTTTAATAACTAATCTCTCACCCGGTTTAAGTTTTAAGGATAGATTTTTAAAGAGGGTTTTGTCTTGATATGATTTGCTAATATTTTGTAGTTGGATTGGAAAATTTTCTGAGAGAAGATTATTATCGGAAAGAAAATCAATTTCTAGTTTACGGCGAAACATTAATGGCACTTCTACCAATTTTTTTGCTAAATTAGTTTTTTTAGTTTTTAGTTGATTGACAACCCGCCTATGGCTTTTCTGATTTCGAGCACCTCGGGCGTCAAATCCCATTTTATTTTCTCGTCTTTTAATTTTGTCTACTGCATAAGAAGATTTTTTAATGTGCAAATCATCCAATTTCCTAGTAATGAATTTTATTTCCTTTTCCTGCCGCTCGCGGATTTGTTTTAACCTTAAATATTGCCTTTCTTTTTCTTGCAAATAATTTCGGTAATTGCCGCGAAAGTGAGTTAATTGGTGTGTTTCCGGAGAAAGTTCAGAAATATAATTAGCGGTTTGATTAATTAAATATCGGTCATGAGTTATCATAAGCAAAATTCCCTGGTAGCCTTTCAAAAATTTTTCTAGTCATTTAATTCCTGCTTCATCCAGGTGGTTGGTGGGTTCATCCAACAAAAGAATGTCGGGGTCTTGAAAGCATAAAGCCACCAAATGGACTTTTACTTTCTCTCCACCACTGAGAGTGGAAAATTTTCTCTCTAAAATTGACGGAGCAAGTTGTAGTTGTGATATATTTTTTATTAATCGAAATCCGCCTAAGTAATTAAACTGTCTTTCTCATCCTTTCTTATCTTCTTTATCTTGGCTTTTTTGTAAGCTAATTAATTCAGAGTTGTTAGTTTCTTTGATTAAGTATTCCCAAGTGCTGCTAGCAGGACAAAAGTTTTCAAATGATTGCGGAAGATAACCAATATTGCCTTCGCTTTTTACTGAACCATCAAAAGAGCAAACCAAACCTTTTATAATTTTGAACAAAGTGGTTTTGCCAACGCCATTTTCTCCCACTATAATTATTTTGTCTCCGGAGAAAACTTGTAACTGTAAATCGCAAAAAATTATTCTTTCTCCATATGAAAAATTTAAATCATTTATTTCTAATTTCAATTTATTTGTAATAATATAATATTTTAAAAATTATTTTCCCACACAATACAAATAAAAATAATTTTCTAATTTTTTCGCTCATTTTTAATCATTATTATATTATCGATAATTTATGTCAGTCCGATTTACTTCTAAAATTCAGTTATTTAAAGGGTTTTAGTTATTGAATTACTGATATTTGATTCTAACATTGTAATAATAAAAAGAAGAGCCGAGAATTTGAGAGCGAAAATTTAGCAGTAGTTTTTTTGTTATTTTTTTCTAGTATTAAATTGCTTTCATTATAATTACTATTTTTTTATCGGCTAAACTTTCCAACTTTTTATCAATAATATTTTTGTTTTTCACATCCAAATTATTTTCGGCTTCATCAAAAATATAGATTTTTTTGTTTTTTTCTATTGTATTTTGTAAATCTGTCAGTTGTTTTTGTCCGAAGGATAAATTGGATTTAACCAGATTAGAGGATTCCGCATAAGCAATTTTCTCTCGCCATTTTAGTAGGTTTAATTCCTTTAATTTATAACTTTGGTTAATAATTATTTCCCCCCAGTTGGCTGGTAAAGTCCAAAAAGTAAGTCAATAATAGTTGTTTTACCAAAGCCATTAGACTCTCGCGAGTAATTAATTTTGGGATTTATGTATTTAATTACACCAACTAATATAAACTTATTTTAGCAACTATTTTTCCATTTCCTTAAACCTCCAATAAACTTTATAGATTTCTTCTTTTAATTTTTGTGCTTTATCTAGTGCCTTTCTCGCTTCCTTCAAATCTTCCTCACCTCATTTTTTTCTTTGACCATAAAGTTCATAATCTTCTTGGACTTTTTTATTGCTCGACCTAGAAGAAAAATACTCTAGGCGATACAATTCTAAATGAATATTAGCAAGGTTTTCCGAACAAGTCACCACTTGCTCTTGATATTTTTATATTTGAATCAAATGTATTCATAATATATATTTTAAGGATTTGTTTTTTGTGAACTTGGTCTCAGTAACTAATAAATTTTCTCAGCACTATTGCGAGCCAATCTGCCGACACAAAATCCGTATTTAATTTTGTCTAATTCAGGAATAATTTCAGTTAATTTACAATCTGGTCTAAGAGCAGAATAACTAATATCTTCTAAACTCCTAGGCAACTTATCAAGATTAACTTCATCAAAATCGTTATCAATGATTTCAAGTACTTTTAAATTCTTCATATTACTTAAAAAATATTGCATCCTCCTAAATATAATTCTTTTAAATTGATAGGGTTGGGTTGGCAGGAAAAGTAATTGGTTAATCAATTACCTCGAAATAATAAACTCAGATAGGTCAAGTTCTCCTCATAATCCACTAATATTTAACTCAGTCGTTTGCTCTTTTTTTTCTTTGGTATTATATATTCTTCTTGACTTTCTAGTCATACTTGAGAGTTGACCATATTTTTATTTTAGCAAACTAGCGAATTATTTTCTGTTCACAGAGCAAAAAATAAAAATATAACTCTTTGGCAAAAAATGCAAGCTAGTAGAAAAATTGCAGCCACTTTTAACTTTTTGGTAAAATATAATATATTATGAATGGTGAAATCAAATTAACCCCAGAGCAGAAAAAATGTGCTGAACATCCTTTAAATCAAAAAAATTTAGTGATTAATGCTGACCCCGGTACTGGCAAAACCGAAGTTTTGAAACAGCGAGTGCTTTTCATTCATGAATTTTTATTAAAAGCGGAGCAGGGAAACAAAGGAATGAGTCGATGGCAAAGAAAAGTAATTTTAGTTTTGGCTTATGGAAAAAACATTGCCGCTGAAATAAGGGCGAAATTGAATGCTCGCGGATTAAAGTGTTATAAACGCTTGAAACATATTCAGCCATTATGAGATCACCAACACATTTGTACTTCTCCTAATGAATGCCCGACTTATTTAGAAAAAATGAAGCCGCTAGTTTTGGTTTGTACAGTTCACTCACTAGCTAGCGGCATTAATGATTTGGTCATTAAAAAACAGTTTCAAGAAGAAAGAAGAATTCACGTGCTAACTGCTACTCAGCGGGTAGAAAAGAAGCAAGGTTTAATCTCTCATGATGAGAAAAACCAGAAGTTTGCTTGAAAATCTTTAGGAGCCATCAAGTCTCGCAAGAAAAAACTTTTTAATTATCTTTTTCGCCGTATTGAGGATAATTATTGGACAGAATTAAGTTGAAAAGAGTTATGAAAAATTTTTTCCTCCTCTGAACCTGAAAATGTTATTTTAACCAGAGAGGATGTTCCTTATTGTCGTTATGAAGTTAACTATTCCTCTTTCTTAAATCAAATTTCTAATTTGCTTCCGCCCGAATCCAAACTCTTAGCCCTATTAGAATCTGCTTGTAAACAGGACAAGGCCAAAAATGTTTGGCTAGATTTTGAGGACCTAATTACTAATGCTAATAACCTTATTAACCAATCTGAACAAAAAATTTGACCCGAATTTGACTACATTTTGGTGGATGAATGTCAGGATTTAAAAGTAGAAACTTTGCATCTAATTATAAAAATATTTGGTAGTGAAAGAACTAATTTTACCTTTGTGGGCGATCCCAAACAAAATATTTTTGGTTTTGCCGGTGCCCAGGCTGATATTTTTAAGTTGCTTGAAGATTATTTTCCCTCTCAAACTCACAGCGTTATTGCTACCAGTTTTCGCTTAACTCCTGAAATAGCGGACTTTGCTAACCATTTCATCCAAAAATTTATGACTTATCGGTCCTCAATTCAGACCACTAAACCTAAAACAAACCAGAAGCCACAAATAATTGTGATTGGCCAAGAGTTAGATTATCAATTAAGTCTTCAAGACTTAATTGACATTAAGATAGAGTTGGAAAAAAATCCGGAATTAAAAAACTCAAACTTGGCGAAGGACAAGATTCGGATGAAAAAACTCGAAAAACATATGAACACTATTCTCTCTATCATCAATAAATTGGATAATCCTGCTACTTCTAAAGCCATACTTTATCGCCAAGGGTGAATTGGCAAACTACTCCAACATTGGCTAGATAAAAAAGGTATAAAGACCAACATAAGCGAAATAACAATTAATGATATTATTCGTCAAGTCAAGCAGCATTTTAAAGGTTCGGCTTCTGAAAAATTAAAAGAGCATACTGCTAACCAAAAAGGTGAGCGACATCGTCAGTGATTACTAAAAAGTGCCCTAAAAGTAGAAAAAAAAGAACTAGAAACTAATTCGACTAATCTAGAATTCTTTTCTTTGAGGAGTTTTCTAGCCAGTTGTAGAATTTCTGAAAATAGTATCTTTCAGTTAGCGGAAATAGTAAAAAAAATTGACGAGAACTTGCCCCCTAATCAACCTTTAACCCGAGACCAAATTAACGAATTTATTTCCCGGTTAGAGGAAGTAAAAAATCACCCCGGTATTATTCTTTCTACTATTCACGGCATGAAAGGTTTAGAAGCCGACTATGTTTTTCTCATTTTTTGTGACCAAAAGGTTTTACCCAAAAAAGAGAAATTCTTGAATGATTGAGAAAAAAGAGAAGAAGAAAACTTATTTTTTACCGCTGTTACCCGACCTAAAATTGGTTTATATATCACCACTAGTTCACTTGCTGAGTGTTCAAAATTTATTAACCCGGATAATCTAGATCTTAACTTAGTGGAACTAATTAAAAAATAAAAAAACTTTAATATGAACCAAATTATCGAAAAACTAAAAGCAAAATTTTTACCCGAAGTAATTTTTAAATACGAGGTTTGCCAAGAAAACTGTCATCATTGTCAGGAAGATTTAGGTTGCACTATTTGAAAAAATAAAATTGGCGATATTCGCGACAAAATTAAAAACCTCCAAAATCTAGAAAAAAAAGTTAAGAAACTAGAAATAGACCATGGTTTAGTTGCCGAAGAGACCAAATCCAAAACCGAAGAAGAAATTTGCAAAACAAGAGAAAAAATTAAGGAAGAAATCGGAAAAATCGCCAACTCGCGTGTCACGGAAATCACTATTCGGTTAAGAACTAATCCTGATAAGGAAACAATCGCCCATGAATTCGCCCATGCCTTTCTAGTTTGGCACCATTGTCCACGGGGTCATCACGGAGAAAAATATGAAACTCGTACCCAAGAAAATACTTTCTTATTTGATAGCTTATGTGAATATTTTGAACAAGAAGTAGAAAAAATGAACTAACTTTTAATTTCTGTTGTTTTAAAAATAGAATATATGGTAAGCCAAAAAGAAAAAATTATTAACAAAGATATACTTATTACGAGGGTAACAAAAAGCACTCCTAACGAGTCAAAGTTAGTAAATAAAATTATGAAACAAATAAAGGATTCTCGCAAAAAACCTCGGATTCGCCTTAATATCGATGAGAAACAATTACAATTTCATTTGAATGAATTAACAAAGTACTGGTCAGAAAAAAAGGCATCCCAAACTATTAATAAATTTTTGGAAGAAGTGAAGTCGAGTTTGCAAAGAAAAGAAAATATTTTGCTCTATGGCTACTTCGGCTTGAAAGTCTGTCGTTCAGCTGCTCGTCAAGTCCGCAATCCCCAAAATGGAAATTTGATAACCGTTAAGGAAAAAAATCGCCTCAGTTTTAGAGTCAGTTCTAAACTGAAAAGGGAAATAAACAAAAAGTAAAGCAAAATCGCCTTGGGAAACTAAAAATAATAATGCCAAAAATCCTAGAAAAATTAAGATTGAGATTTTTTTTCAGTATTTTTTACCAAACCAGGTTAATGGATAAGCATTTTTTTATTTTGCTTCATGTTTGACATAAATTACTAATTTCTCCTTTGCCAATTTCTCTAACTTTTGGTAAAATTGAATTTGTTTTTTTTGGTCTAAGGCGTTATCCGCTTCATCAAAAAGAAATATTGCGGCATTTTTTTTGGTTTTTAGAACCTCATTAATGTTAGTTAGTTGCCTTTGCCCTGTCGAAGCCCCCTCAATCAAATTATCATGGGAGCAATAAGAAACATTATTTTCCCGTCAGGCTTGTAAATTAATATCTTGGGGGAGATTATAATTTTGTCCTTGAATGTCAGTAATGGTTATTTGGCCACTATCAGGTTTAATTAATCCAAGGATAAGATAAAGAATGGTGCTTTTACCTTTTCCATTTTCACCGCTCAATCGATTTATTTTTTTTGCTTGAAAAGTTTCATTATGGCTTCGGAGAACCCATTCTTGGTTGTTTTGATATTTAAAACTAACGTTCTCGAAGGTAATAGACTTAATTTCTTTGGTTAGTTTCAACTTCTCTAAATTATCGTTTTTTTCTGACAATTGAAGAAAATCGTTAATTCTTTGAACTGATGCACTGTAATTTCCATAAGTTAAACAGTTTACAGTAATCTTACTAAACCACCAACCGATAGCCCAAAATAAAACTAAATTTATTCCTGCAAGCATGCTAACTATTAACAGAGGAAAAGCAATCATTAAACGAAAGGGCAAATTTTGTCCAAGCGAAAAAAACTTATTAAAAGAAAGTTTCAGTCTCTCATTTTTCTTACGTAAATATTTTTCTTGTCGCTCATACTGCGAATTTAGTCCCATTCCTTCAATCAAAATTCCTTTATTAATTTCTTCATTGATTAGTAAAGAATATTTTGTCCGTTTTTCTTTATATTTTCTTTCATTTTTAGCAATGGCTCGGGAGAACAGATAACTAATTATCGCAATCAAAACCATTCAGCCAAGAAAGATAAAACTTTTTCACCCCACATAAATGCTGATAAAATAAAGAATAACCAAAATAATAGCCTGAAAAGTATCCCGTCCTAATTCTCAATTATTACCTATAATTTGAGCGTCTACTTCAACTAGCACACTTAATTCTTTACCACGACTAAATTTTTCTTCAAAAGTCAAACGACGAAATTTATTTAACAACTTGCCTTCTACATAATTGGAACCTCTGACTTTTAATTCTTCTTCCCACAGCCCTAGAAAATATTCTAAAAAAAAACTAAGTGTCAATCAGGACAATGCTAAGAGAAAGTATTCTTTACTGTTTAGTTTAGTAATAAATTTTCGGAGAAACTCGGGAAGTAAAACCGCATAATTGGCATTTTCTCCTATTATTTTGCTAGGATTTGGAAAGCGGATAATCTTATTGATAGTAAGCAAAATAGGTCATCAAACTAACATTGCCGATATGTTAATTAAGTAATTACGAATTACTTTACCACGAAATTTTTTGAATAGAGTTCAAAAGTTTATTTTATCTTTTTTTTTTTTTTGCTAACGATATGTTCTTGTGCATTCACCATAATATTATATTATAGTTTTAAAGAGATTCATCCAAACTAACCATTCTCAAAAAATTTTCCCTAAATTAAGATACTAAAAAAAAGAGAAAGACAGAAAAATGAATCAAAATCGACCATATAATAGGTTTCTTTTGTTTTTCCTTAATTTTTACATTGATTTGTAATTTTCCCATATTTTTGTATTCGGAGGGTTATTTTTGTTTGTTTTTTCCTTTGCATTTTCATTAGAGGGGTTATTATTTTTATTCCTCTCTAAATGGACAATTAGGTCAGAAGCATTATTGGAGTTATTTGCCCTATCGTATGTACTCGTGTGTGTAGGTGTATAATAAAAAAAACAAGTCTTATATATATAAGAAGAATAGGATGAATTTTTATACACCACTTTTTTTAAAGGAAATTTTAAATAATTTTCACTTTCCTTGGCAACTGATTTTTCCACCAATAAATAATTTTTGCTAGCCATAATTTCAATTAATACTTTTTCTCGGTAGTGATTTTGAATATAACATTTATCTTTATGCCGATTAAGTTTTCGATTTTTCTTTTTTTTAGAGTGCTTACTAAAATCTCTAAATAATTCTTGGGTTAGTTTGGGTAAATCTTTAAAAGTAAAATAAGCCAAAATTTCCTCTCTGTTTTTGCTGTTTAAATAGCCATGGTCTTTTATCCAATTTTTAACAAAACACCTACTATCACACAGTATTAATTTATCCTTCCCTATTCTTTTTGCTTTACACCCAGGGCATTTTATTTTAGAGGGAGTTAATAAAGAGGGATAAGCCTCATACAATTCAGCAAAAGTTTTTATTTCTTTTTTTGGTGGAAAAATAGTTGCTATTTCAGATTTAGGAGCAATATTGGGTATTTTCTTTATTTCAAAAAGAGAGTTTGCTAAAATATTTTTTGCTGGCATAAATAATTAAAGTATTTCCCTACTAGTTAAGATAATTTTAGGAAAATCTATCAAACTCAATAATGTCAAAACCTAATTTCTCCTAACTTTCAGGGAGATACTTAATTACTATATAATATATTTAATAAACTTCTTTCCGATGCCCGGCTCTTAATACTAAAATTACTAATTCTTTTTCTTTAACTTGGTAAATAACTCTAAAATCCCCGAACCGATAACGAAAACAACCTTTATATTCATTAGTAAGGGGTTTACCAAACTGCCGAGGATTTTTAACCAAGTATTTTTCCACTTTAATGGTAATTTTTTGAGCCATTAAAAAATCTAACTTTTTTAAACCTTGCTGGGCTTTTTTAGTTCAGACTACCCGATACATTACTTAGCCGAAGAAGTGGTTACTCCTTTTTTGGGTTTTAGACTATCCAAAAGTTCTTTGGTAGTATAAAGTTTTTTATCTTTGGCTTTAAGAGCCATGTAAAGGTCTTCTACATCCTCTAAATATTGAATTAAAGCCTCTTGGCAAAAAAACTCTTTACTCTTGCCAGTAGTTTTTTCCAAATGTTCTAATTGTTTTTCTAATTTTTTTGGTAAATTAATTATTAAGTTTGCCATATTAAATTATTTTATTATATATCGGTGGGAGATATCCAATTAAGATATCATATATTTATTATTATATTAGTTGGTTTTTAAACTCTAAAACCCCTTATATGACTAACTTTTGAAACCAATTAGAAAGTAAGAAAATAGCCAATCGGGAAGAGATAGAAAAATATTTAACTCAAAAATTAGGCATTCCGACCAACCAACTTTCCTCTAACTGTCTAACTGAACTAAGCAAAAAAATTATTTCCTATTACCAAGCCGACCAACCGAAAAACTTTACTACTTATACTCTCTTTGGTTCTTTAACCTCCCCCGAGCAAATTTTAGCCCGAAAGTTTAGGGAGGGAAAAAGAATGGGTCAGACTTTTTATATTCTAAAAGTAGGAAATGAAAGATTACAGG